TGACATCCGTGCAGGTATTCAGTACGTGGGCTAGGCCCAAGCAGAGTGGCAGTCGTGGCTGCTGTGGGCTCTGGAGATAGCTCCATCTAGGCCGGAGCCCGGATTACATCACTGCCCAGCCAGTGATTCCATTACTTCACATCATTGCGCATCCTAGCTCATAAAGTTGTCTGAAGGATTAAATGAGATTGAGTACTTAAAGCAGTTAGTCCAGGGCTCAGCATACAGAGTAAATACCCAAATCATAGTAGCAGCAATGACAATGTAAAGCACGTCATAGCACACATATACACAGCCCTCAAAAGGGTTTCTGCAAGCGGTGTTCTTGAGTTTTTAATCAGCCATCCATTTCTTTCCATTATTAGCACAGAAGGTTTTGGAGTCTTCCATAGCAATAGCAACCAGAGAAAGAAAGACAAAATTAAAAGTGAAAAATGTAGTCACTGTACCAATTGTTTTGTCTACATAACAGGCTAATCAAGAACATGGTGGTTTCTGTCTTTGAGGTATGACCTACAGCGATAATCTCATAGAGTTACAGATTCTGGACTGTTCCAGAAATGGCCATTTGATTGGACATTTATGATTTTGAAATTATGTTAAATATGTGCAAACTTTGCAAGCAAGAAATAATCTTAGCTCGGAATGATGGGCATGAAATAAAGGTTGAACACATTAAAGCCATTTCTATTCAACAATAATTAGCATGTTTAAATACAATATAATTTTTATCCATCTACAAAATGCTTAAAAGTTTGCACTCTCGTTTATGTCTATAATGACAGATTCATTTTTGAGGCAGTCATTTTCAATCTTGATTTGTATATTTCAAAGTTGTTAAATGCTTGACTGAATCATTAGCAAAACAATTCATGTATCATTAAACTGATTTCTAACGGGAGATCATTCTCCTCCTAGTCCAATAGATGTGCCTTTTCAGATTTACTGAGATAGTTTTTGTTCTTTGGTGGGGAGAGAGGTGTCCCAGGGGTTGTGGAAGAGCCCAGAGACCATATCCCTACAGCTATCCCCCACACTGTCTCTGCAGGCTCACAGCAAAATGGCTTGCTGAATGAATATTCCAACATACTGGAGAATGCAGACTGTGACAGCAAAGGAAACAGACCCTAGAAGTCCACCCTTCTCACAGCAGACAGGCAGAGGGGAAGGGAGAAAGATAAATGGGTGAAGGGGGAGAGTAAGAAATCCTGACAAACTGGAGGCCTCAGTCAAAACAAGATCCTGCCCCACCTCATCTGCATTCTTAATGCCACGGCTGGTGACAGTGGTCTTTGGCTCTTGCTCTCTCTGTCTCTGTCTGTCTCTGTCTCTGTCTCTTTCTCCCTCTCTCTCTCTCTCCCTCGCCTCCACCCCCAACATTCCCATCCAGAGACAGGCCTGCTCCACTCTCCTGCAGGAGTGCAACGCGGAGGCTTGGGAGGACCTGTGTGCAGAGCAGGGGGCAACTCCAGCCTGGCTGCAGCTGAAACAGGTCACTTTTGTCTGCGAGCAGCCCTCCTCCCCGGCGCCCCCAAGGTCCAGGCACAGTGGGGAAAGTGTGGACTGCCTTCCCCCCAAAAGAGAAGCCTGGAGGGCACGAGGCCCCTTCCCAGCCTTGACAGCCACACACAGACCTTTGAACTTCCTATTTATATAACAGTTTAGTGAGTTTAAGGCTCTTCCTGTATTAACTGCCCGTTTGCAAGCTTGCCTCTAATTAGACTCCTTGTGCGACAGCACAGGAAAACTGCCCACATTGACAGTGTCATTCACAGTGACAAGTCGGCCACGGTCACAATTGCTTCACAACCACGTTTGCTGGGCTTCTGAACATGTGGACGTTGCTAGCTCGGTGGCTTCCTTTACCTTTTTTTTTTTTTTTTAATATTTAAGAATGTGCCCTCTTTCTGCTTCCTCTGTCTTCTGTCTTTCCTTTTTTAATAATAAAAGGAGATAAGCATCTCCACAAAGCAGCTCTGCCTGTGGCAAAGCAAACCCTCATCAATTTTTTTTTTGGGGGGGGGTGTTGCTTACAGGGCTGAAAGGCTGTACCCTTTATATAGGCTGTACACCTACCACTGCTGCTCCAAGTCCCTGTGATTTGGCTCCCCCCTGAAATGGGATGTAATGCCACCCCAGATGCTGGTAATCAGTCCAAATGTAACCCCACCATCTCCAGACACCTCAAGAATTCAGACTGCATTACCACAGGTAAGGCCAGGAAATGACTGAAAGGATAAAATTGGATTTTTTTCCTTATCGTTTCCCTATTTCTTTTTTTTTAAGAGCATTTGGCGTCTGGTACGCACAGACATCTGCACCTTCGTAGTTCACAGAATGGTTCATATTAAATTCAGACTCAGGTGAACATTGCTCATTCATCCAGGAACCCTAAAGAACTTGAGCTTTGGCCCTTTAATCGAGTCCAGAGCATGACCCGTTAAGGTTCTGAGCGCTCCCAGACACCGCACAGACATGCCACGGCGTCCGGGCCCAGCCTGGCGGGCCAGGTTCACCCTGACAAGTGTGTGTTGATAAATGGGCACACACTTTTTGGACTCAGTTGCCTGCATATAACCCATATGCCTGTGTGTGTAGCGTCTCTCTTCATTGAGTCTGGGAACATGAGGGTGTTTTTGGGTGACCTCATGAATTTACTGTCAGACATCTGGGGTTGCTGCAGCAATAAGTCAGAGTTTCTGTTCCATCAGAAAATGTTCAGGGTAAGTCTGATGTGGATAAGATCATTTTTGTGGAATGTGTGGTGGCACCTTTCTCCTCTGTGAACCTTGTGGGGTGTTGAGGGAGGGCAGTGGGTGGCTGTACTCTAAGCGCCTACTTACTCCCAAGAGGGGAAGCAAGCATAGAATGAACATGTCACTGGTGTGCTCTGGGTGTCCAAAGAGTTTGGAAAGGCACAGATTTCCATTCCACACAATCTAGGGCTTTTTAGTTCATCCTTCCTTGTCCTATTTCTGCTGCTTTTCTCTGTGGGGGTGCACAAGCACGGATGCATGGGGAAGCTGGCTCTTCACAATCAAACAGTAGGAATAAGGAGACATGTCTTTAGAGTATGTGCACGGGCGAAAGCAGGCATATGTGTGTTAAGATATGTTAAACAAATTCACTGGTATGTGACATAACATCCATGGGGTGTGCAAGTCTGCATGCGTCTTAACTGATGTGGCATAGTTAGGGATCTGGAGTAAAGCAGATTCTGCATTTTCCTTACGATAAGAAAAGACGGTGTCACAAAATGGGGGGGCAGAACGTTTCTGAAAGGAAAACATCAAGTCTCTTTTAAATATGCAAGTGCATGTGCCTAAGATTAGACTGAAATTAAAATAATATAATAAACATGTCTTTAAAAACCTAATTCCTTATGTGCTTAACATTTGAACTACACCCACGAAATCAATTATAAGAATGTCTGTTAAATTAATGATGTTACTCACACTATATATTAGGCAAATTGTATGCAAATAGTAATGCTGCAGTTATCAGTTGTCAGCAAAATAAATTAGTGTAGCGGAGTAAAGACTGTGTGCAGGCGTGCAATATTTAATTGAGCAGTAATTTTATTGTGATCTTTACTTTTTAAAGTTGGCACATGGTTATTAAAAAATTGTAACGCAGCGTTTTTCCCCAGAGAGATAGAATCTAGCATGGTATCAAAAATGCCTTACAGAGTCATATCGATACAGTGTAATGTGTGGCTTCAAGGATTTATCGGGAATGGCTGTAAAATAAAATGTGTTTAAGATCTTCTTATTTTGGGTGTCGGAGTGAGGGAGTTGGGATCGGTATAACGAAGGTATTGGTTGAGCGTATGACCCTCTTCTAAAGAAGGAAATTGTCTGAAATACTCATGAGCCAGGGAAAGCCTTGTGAAAAGGGAGAGCCTCACAGCGCAAGGCTGCTAGTAGTTGAGCATCGCGAAAGGTTTCGCACGACCGCTCGGTACCAGCAGAAGATTCTGAGGCGGTTTCGGAAGGCGATGAGCGAGTGTCACTGTAAGTGGGTGCCGCCGCGCCCTCCCCCCTCTCCTTCTACAGGCTGGGGGCGGGGGGCCCGCCTCGCAGTGTCGTGACAAAGAAAGGACGACAGCGCTGGGGCACAAGGTGAAGTTTAAAGGAAAAGTTAATAGGTGGACGGATTATCCGTGCTGGTGCACAGGCGCGCGCACGGCGCGCCACGGCTAGAACTTTCTGGCTTCGCCGTCAGTCCTGCCGCGCGTTTCCAACCTGGTGGGCGACAAGTTTACCCGGGCGGGGAGGCGCAGGGGGAGGCCGAGCATCCCGCTGGGCGTCGGGCGGCGCAAGGCAGAGCTGTGGCCGCGGCCCGGCGGGGAGCCGGCGGGGTCGCCGGTCGGCAAAGGTGGCGGTGGTCGGAGCGGCCGGGTGGGGGGCAACTTCCTTATCACCAGGTGTAGAAGGGGCCCGTGGCCGAAGCCGGCTAGGACCCGGGGGGCCCCTGCGCGGTGGCCCCGGAGCCGCGGCCGGGCGCGCGGGTGCGGGAAGTTGGCGGAGCGGGCGCGGGGAAGGTGTGCGCGGCGCGCCGGGACCGAGGCGGTGGCGGCGCCGGGGGCGGCGGCTGCGAGGCGGCCGCGCAGGGCGGCCGGTGGCAGCCGGGGCCGCCGCGGTCCTCGGCGCTGGGCAGCGGGCGTCGCGCACCTGGAAAGTTGCGGCGTCGCGGGCGGGCCGCCTGGCGGGGGCCGGGAGGCCGGCGCGCGGGCAGCGGACCCGGAGCGCGGCCGTGCGGGTCGGCCCCGGCTGCCCTCCGGGCCGCGGCAACTCCGCGCCGGCGAGCGGGCGACGCTCCCGGGCCCGCAGCCCCGCGGCCGCGCCTCCCCACCGGGCCCGGGCGAGCGGCGGCCGAGCGCCGGCGGGAGGGTGGCCGGGGCGCCCCCCGCTCGGCCCCGCGCCTCCCAACAAAGGCGCGGAGCGCAGCCCCCGCGCGGACGGCGCCGTGTCCCCGAGCAGGCCCGAAGCGACACCTACCACTGCTGCTCCAAGTCCCAGTCCCGGAAAAAGTCGAATAGATCCATAGCGGCCGGGCGGCGGGCGGGCGGGCGTCCCTGCTGGCGGCGGGGCGGCGCGGCTCTCGGCGCGGCTGGCGCGCGGCTCCCGGCGGCCCGGCTCTGCGGCGCTCCCGCCCGGCTAAAAGTGCGCGGGCCGCATGGGCGGCGGCGGGGGCCGGCGGGGGCGGCTCGGGCGCCGCGGGGCGGCGGCGGCGGGGCGCGGGGCGGGCGGGCGGCGGGCCGCGCGCGGGGGGCCGCTCGCTCCCCGGCTGCCCGCGCACCCAGCGCCCCGACGCGGCGGCGGCGGCGGCGGGTGGGGGCCGGCGGGGCCGCCCGCCGGGCGGGCGGGCGGGCGGCGGCGGCGGCGGCGGCGGGGGCGTCCGGGGCGGCGGCGGGGCGCGGAGCGGCGGCCGGGGCGGCGGCGGCGGCGGAGGCACGGGCGGCACGGGCGGCGGCGGCGGCCGCGGCAGCATCACACACTCGCACACTCACAGGGGGCGGAGCCTGCACCGCCCGGAGCCGCGACACGGAGCCGGCACGTTATCATCCCCGGATCTGGCCGGGCTCGCCCCGCCCGCCGGCGCCGCCGGGACCCCTCTGTCAAAATCAGCTGCTGGCGCCGGCCGCCCGCCGGGGACCCGGGCCTGGGCCGCGAGCGCGGGGCGCGGACCGGGGCGGCGGCAGGGGGACCGGCGGGCCCGGGACGAGGGCGTCGGGAAGGGGCCCCCCCGCCCCGACCCCAGCCGCGCGCCACCCGCAGGGGCACGGCCGGGCCGGCAGCGGCGCGCGCGGAAGGCCCCGGAGGTTCGCGCCGCACCCCGCTGCCCCGCGCGCGCTCCCTGTCCCGGGACGCTCCTCAAGCCCCCGAGCGGCGGAGCCAACTTTGGCGGCTCGGAGGCCCCTGGGGCCCGCAGGCGCAGCACGCGGGGCGCCGAAGGAGAAGGCGGTCACCTTCCGCGACCCCGCGCAGCGCCGCGTCCCCCCAGGCCCGCCGGCAGGCCGCACAGTCCGGGCTCGGCCGCGGGGCGCGGCGCGCTACTACGGGGCGCGCCAGCTCGCACTCCCGGGCTCCGGGGCTCAGAAGCGCCGCACAAGTCACTGCCCTCGGGCGGCCGGCGGCGGCGGTTAGGTCCTTGCGAACCCACACGACCCCCACGTGTCGAGGCAAAAGGCTGTGGTGCCCACGCCCCCACCCAGCCACCCGCTGCGGGTCTCGCTCCGGCCTGCAGCTCCCTCCCTCCCTCCCCGCAGCCTCCACGGCTGCTCCGGGACCGGCCCCTGCCCTCAGGGAAAGGCTCCGCGGCGGCGGGAGAAGAGCTGGCACCAGCTCCGGCCTCTGCTCCTTGCCGAGCAGCAGCACCGTCGGGTCCCACTTCTCACGGGCCTCCCGTCCTCGAGCACGGGGACGGAAACCGGCCTGCTCGCCTCTGAAGGGAGCTGGCAGGCGCCTTGACGGGGCCAGCGCAGCGGGACTCGCGGGCGCCGGCGGCCCTCTTGCTCCCCTTGCCACTTATATGTGCTTCGCTATCTCACAGCAAAATCCTCCAAACCGCTTTTCTCTCAGAAGAAACACAGGCACTGACACAGGCCGATCGACTCAATATCTCACAGTTCTCCAAGGACGGGGATGCGCATTGGAACCTCCACTCTGGGAAGCCCATTTAGGGCTCACCCCGGTAGAAGGCGCTGCTACAGCTCCAGCGAGACATGGGTGACTCCACAGTCCCAGCTGGAGCGGCCCAGAGCCTGGTCTCTCGCCTTCTTTGCACATATAAAAAGCACCAATATGGAGAAGTGAAGCATTTAAGATACAGCGAGCCCAGCATCCCGTGAGACTCTGCTCAAATGCCTATTTTGCATAGAACCAAGTTGTTCACAGATACTAGTTGACTGCAGGCCCACCAGGCAGGAGGTAGCCAAGGGAACACCACACCTCCTATAGCCTGCTCAGTTTGACTCCTTCCAAACACCTCAGGTCAAAGACTCCGAAAGGGCTATTGCCAAAATGGGGCCAGGAATTTTCGAATTCTCTCTGGGCCTTGCTTATTGCAGGAGTTCCAGTACTCAGCTCCAGACTGTGACCCTCCAGGTGACAGACAGCCCTCAACCTTTATGGCCTCTACCCTTACACCCTCCCCTAAATGATCCTTGAGCTGGATTTCATTGCTAACAATGACTGTCCCCAGGGCTAGGGTTTGATCTGCTTGAAAGTCCTGCCAGGAAAACCAGAGCACCCACCAGCGACACTGACATGGCCATTGTGCTCACTTTGCATCCGATTCACTTTTCTGGCCAGGTTACATCAACTGGGGGAAGACAGACAAAATAATATGCAAGCTAGATACATTTCCAGCAGAAACAAAGCTGCTCCTTTAAGAGTTCCAGACCCCCATCACCCCACTGGTGCACTTTCTTCCCAATCAGCAGGAGGACCAGCAGAAGCAGAAGGAGCCAGCAAGAGGCAGCACTCTGAACAGAAGTGCCTGCGGGAAGGAGAGAAGAGACAAGTGGTGCCGGCTGCTGCTTCAAAAGAGGGGCAGGGGCTTTCCCTGCCTGAGATCAAAACCCAGCAGGCAAGCTGGGCTGGGGGAAGTAGCTCCCACTCCCACCCAGCCTCCTGAACAGGGATGAAGCCAAGAGAGGCCGAAAAGACCAGGCCAGGCTGTCTCTGAGGCCAGGCAGCCAGCCCCAGCCCAGCACACCTCAAGGTTGCAGCAGAAGCCTCACCTTTCCAACTGAGGCTAGGTGTACTTCAGCACCCCCAGCTAGGTGCACTTCAGCACACACCCCCGCCCCCCAGTCTTGCTGTCACTGGCCCTGATGGGGCTAGGACCTCATTAGAGAATCCTGAGATATGCAACCCAGCCAGGCCTGGTCTAGCAGGATGTCAGGCAGGAAGGAAAGCAGGCTGTAGCAAAAGGAACTAAAATGGCTGTCTGGAGTCAGGGCCCACTGCTGCTGCCACATGGGCAGCTGGGCGCTTGAGTCCTTCAGAGGCCACTGCTCCCTGCACACCCCATTCCCAGCTGAGACTCCCAGGGACGTGCTATCTAAAGTGGAAGACACCCCAGGCCGCCTGTTGGCAATAACATTCTCAGCCCAACCCAGTAGGTCATAAGTCACAGCCTTCCCCCTTGGGCCCTCCTCTCTGTTGGCATCCCCCCGTGCTCGAAGACCAGAGTGCCCCTCCACACCCCACCAGTCTCCCCTATTCAAACAACCCAACCCAAAAGAACCAACCACAAGGATCCCTGGGCCAAGGCCAAGTCATCCTTTTCAGACAGGACAGAATCAAAACTAAGAGTCCCGACTCATGCTCCGCAGATGAGCCCAGACATCTTGTTTTAAGAGGCTAGATTACACAGGGTGCTGATTCTCAGACTTCCAGAGTGCAAGTTTTCACTTGAATTCCTTTCAGAGGACTTTCCTGTGGAGTCTCCAAGTACTAATCTTCATTTCAAAGAATCTGAAATCCTCCATTTTTATCGTTGTAGAAAATGGAGAACGTACGTTCTGGCAAACAGTGTCTAAAAATTAACATTAATTTAAGTTTCAATGTGTATGTCAGTTCCAAGAAATGAACAAATTGACAGCGTGTGATGCATGTGATATGTGTGTCACCCTATCCCACCTCAGCCTTCCACCGCAACCAGGAAGCATTTGTTTCTGATGTGGCATGCAGTCAGGCTGAGTGGCTTTCTGGGAAGAGACTGTGATCAAGGTTACAGCTTATCAGAGGAAACCTGCTTGAAAGAATTCTGCAGGCTTCCATTATGGTGACTCTCCTATGACAGAGCAGCAGTTTCCAGAAGTGGGGAGCAATTTCCAGAAGGAGCAGTTCCCTCTTTCCTAAACGCAGGATGCCTCCACTTATGGGTTGTGGGTCACTGCTCCCAGTGACTATAAGTCTCCTGAGGGTAAGGCCAGAGCTGTGTCCTCCAACTCTAATTAAAGTCTACCACTGGATGTCACACATAGAGGGCCCCTTCAAGGTCTGCACAGCTAGCCTCCACAAAAATGGCAAGCCCAAGAGTCCATGGCAAATGGGTTCAGGACACTTCTCTGAATCTAGAAGGTTCTACCATTTTGTATGTTGCATCTCACTCATGTACCATAATTGGAAGCCCCTACTCTTGGGTGTTCTGATGACTATAGACAATGACCTATCCACCGTCACTGGCTCTGGGTTCCTACAGGGCCCACAATATCAAACATCATAGAACCTATGTCTGTGACCCACTTAATCAGGTTTATGACACTTGAAGGTGATGCTATTGATGCTATTCTATGTTATGGGGTGTATCCCAGTGATTCGTCACACATATTTAGCATAACAAGAAAAAGAGAGAACAATGATTAAGCCTGTATTACACACCAGGCACTGTGCATACATCCTTCCATTTCCTCTTCCCCGTGACTCTCTGAGGTAGGTATTAGAAGTATAATCTATAGAAGGCCCTGGAATAACATCATTTTGTTGAAGAATGTTTCCTTTGAACTTTAATGCAAACCAATCCAGTGTAATGAACAAAAGGATGTTATTCAAGGACTTGCTCTCTTTATGTGTCATTTTGCTTGCAATCTCCATCTCCAAGAAGCTCTCGATGACTTTGAGGACTGACTGTATTTAGCAAGGTGAGATTGAGGCTCGACAAGCCGAGTCACAGTTCCCAGGTGCCACGGTCGGGCTTTGTCCACAAGTGTGTCTGCTGCCAAAGCCATGTACTAAATCCACAAAGCCCCGCAGCCTCCATTCTGCATTCACAAAGGGTTTTATTTTTGCTGTAACCCAGAAGGTGAGCAAGGAAGGGACCTTTATCTCCATTTCACAGTTGAGAAAGCAGACTAAGTGACGTGGCCAAGGGCACGGCGCGGCACAGCTGAGTAGCTGAGGCTGAGACTTGGGGACCTGTAGGCAATAAGCCCAGTGCTCCTCAGGGAGTGCTTTTGTTAGGGCCATTCCAGCACACTGCTACGACACCCCAGGAGTTTGGGACTGCAGTGGCATCAGTTAACTGTTGGATTAAAAAAAAATCTGGTGGTGCAATTTCCCTGATCTCAACTGTGGCTGAACTGGGGGAAGGCAGTTGGCTGAGCCAAACCC